AAGCAACAATAGTAAGCACAGAGGTCAACAAAATGTCTTAGTGAAATTAATGAAAGCAAAGAATATCTTTAAAAAAGAAAAATATGAAATTCAACATCTAAAAGATATGAAATAGAAGATCAATACTGATTGGCTTGACATGATACAGTCCTTGGCTTGTTTAGAGGACAAAAATAACGAATTCCACCAGACCACCAGACATGTTCAGTCTTGCAATTGCAGTCCTTGTGCCTTGGCATAAATATTGATTTAACAGATGTGTGGGCAAGAGGAAGGGTTGCTGGGTTTATCCAACAACCAGTTCCCCAGTGTGTGCTCGACTCCTTCACACTTCTGTGCATTGCACAGGTGTTCCTTCCGGCCCCTTGCGAATGGCCTTTACCTCCAGGTCTACTGCAAAAAGTCCTCTCCTGTTAATTTGTTACAGGGCAGGATGAAGGGCACCTGGGGACCCCCAAACCTGTCCATTCTAAATGGACGCCCTCCACTGCGTCAAGATAAAACACACTCCTGAGGGTAAGGCCTTTAAAGGAACGTTAATACAATCAGCGTACAATAAAGAGAAGGGAACGGATACATAAAATAGTTTTCACACAAAACACCCTAAGTCACCCATCCCCTCGTGGGTAAATGCCCAACCAAACAGGGCTGGCCCAAAGCAGGACTGTTGAGGCTCAAAAGCCTGCCACAAGTCTAAGGCACCTTCTGGAGGGGACCCACAGGAAAGGGGCAGAAGGGGCCAGGCAAGTCTGGAAGGAAAAGAGCAAAATCAAAATCAAGATAAAGGCTGCCGTGTTAACCTTCCCATGGGTCTCTCAGCCATGCCTGTTTCAAGAGTCTCCTTCCATGTCCCCTAAGTCCCTGATACAAATGCAAGGCCGAGAAGCAGGTACAGCGTCTTCACATGTGTCTCTGCTCCATGTGCCTCCTCCAGGTCCCCTCCTTGCTCTCACCTTACTTCTCTTTCTCCAGCTTCTCCTCCTCTTTGCTCAGCTCCACCCTCCCTCGGGTGACGCAGGGAACCTGGAACCTCCGCTTTCCCTGGGGACCCCCCTGTGACACTTTCTATTCCTCAGACACTAGACATTTCATGAGGACAGAGAGCTTGTCTGTCTCCCGCAGTCCTGAATGCCTGTCACCTGTCATCTCTGGAGGAAAAATATATTCTTATTAATGGGCACAGAGTAGGTGTGGCCTCTCCTTGAAGCCTTTCCTGAATTAGCTCTCTTAACCCCATACCTTCTACTCCAGACTGAGTTCACTAGAACAGGTTTGTTTGTTTTTTTTTTTTTAATGACATAATACCTAGAACATTTGCTTCCTTAGCTGCAATTAGAACATTGTTTTTGAGTAATTGTCTCCCTCGGAGATATCAATTGCTCAAGGACCAGGTTGTGCTCTTCTATTTCTACATTCCTTTTGCTTGTCTGTGATGTAGAACACATGGGACCTTTTGATAGGCACTTGCTGAATTGAATCATATCCATTTGCCAGAAATGTTCTTTTTTATTTCCTGAAACACTCACAATCCTCCTGATGGTGTTTCCCTTCCCTGGAGGAAGGCTAAATGATTCCAGCACACAGTTAATTCTCCTGCCACTTCTGAGGGAGCATAGAGTGAGTTGCGTAAGATGGACACTGACAAGATCGTGTGTGAGGGAAGGGGGATGTTGGTAGTCAGATAGTTAATCCCATCTTATCTAGCCAGGTCTGGGGCCAATGAGTTGGGCACAAGCCCCCCAGCTGAGAGGACTCTTCTGCTCTCTCAGCCTCCCACTGCTGCCAGCTGTTGATGATTACTGTCCGTGTCTGCTGAGAACCTGTGATATTTAATATTTCCTCACCACTTGAACAAACATGCGGTACTAACAGAAAGGTCCTTGGCCACAGGAGGAGAAAGATGCATTTGCATGAAAGAGTCAAGGTCCTCCAAGCCAGACCAGCACTGCCTTCTCTTTGCGAAGTGATGAGAAGCCCCCACATTTTAGAAGCCACAGAGTAGATACATTGACTTAGGTTGTGCTTTTGGAAGAAAACTCTTAAAAGTCCAAAATATCAAGAAGATTGGGAAAAAACCACCTTTTTTTTTTTTACAACTGGCATGAAAGTCTTCCCCATTTTTCTTCCCGTGGATATGTCTAGCCTTTAGAGCATCCATTTTCTCCTTGAGAAGTCTCCAGAACTTGGTCCAACGTTTCTGCTGGTTTGCCCCTCTCAAAGCCTGCATAGCATCTCAAGAATCACAGTAAAATTGTCTGTTAACTCAAACTGACCACAAGCATTTCAAGACTGGGGTCCACGACATGCATTTATCCCAGTGCACCAGCACATGACAGGGAGCCAATAGTATTTCCTAAGTCACGACATGCATTTATCCCAGTGCACCAGCACATGACAGGGAGCCAATAGTATTTCCTAAGTGGAGATGAGCTTTGCCCACTCATGTCATGAAAACGCCACAGTACCCAGGTAGGGTTGTAAGTACTCAATGGCAAGAAAGATGGGGAACTGCTCCAACAGAATAAAATATTTGGGCAAAAAACTTGTGGGATAGAGAAACCATTCTCTAGTAGAGCCGACATTGTGAAGTTGAGTGGAGAGGCTTTCCATTAGCTTGGCTACAACTTGCATCTCCTGATTCTTAATTCAGCTATCCAATGCATTCATTTCACTTCATTCTCGATGGTATACCCTCCAGCCATTTCTTCATGAAATCATTCATCTATAAACTCCACAAACATCTGTTGGGCACCTCCTCCCACATGTCAGGAAGGACTGGCAGCTGTCTCAGGAAGGTGCCAGGAATGAATCTTCCTGATACATATCCTTGAAGGACCTCAACTTGACTCGCTTCCAACTGTTTTCACTTCCTGGAAGGGGAGTTGTGTTTAGACTCAGAGGGAGAGCTGAAGGATAGGAGTGCCAGAATGACATCTCCTGAGGGTCTAGGAACATGAATGACTGGTGTTGAGGCCATGTGGAAAATGATCGCTCTCTGAGAGAGCGTGCACTATTTCAGCTTAACTCCCTGCCCTGTCTGCATTTACGAAAGGAAAATTCATGTTTCCTATGGCCTTTAACTCCTAATCTTTACTGGTTACAAGAGTGTACTCCAGGCGGTCGAGTGCTTAATAAATATTATATTGTTTGCTAATGGCAATGCTATTTGGGGGTGAGATTTCCTTCTGAATGTGTGAGCCTGGTTTAACAAATCTGCTGTGTGCAGTTTCACCTTTCATTGTGTTGGTTGAAGTGTCTCAGGGGCCCCTTCAGCAGGGGCCAAGGAACAGCTTAGAAAGGCAGAACTAAAGGAGTGTGCCGGAAGCACTTGTAGTTTTGTCGTAGGATATAACCCACTCCAGGGCCCCGCCATACTAAGTGAATGAATGCATTCCCGCTGTGAAGATGTGAGGTGCTGGAAGGGCTGGCGGGAGCATTTTCCTGCATACTTGTCTTTATAGCCATTTGCGCAATGATGGTGGGTGCTGACCTACCTCCTCTCTCATCCAAATTCAGCTTTGAAGAAATGGTTTCATTGGAAAATTGACAAATGGTATGGGCATCATTTTCAAATTTACCCTCAGTCCCCAAACAATGGAATGACAGGTCTGGTTTTAGATCTGTGAGATACAAAGCCTGCACTTCATGAGCATGTTTTACATGAACTCAGACTGGACTTGAATCCTATTTCTGCCTCTCGCTGTTCTCTCTCATCCTCATCTCCCCAGTCCACACAGGGCTAACTGCAGCCACGGCCTGATGCTCAACTGCCCAGGTGTTCTTCCTGCCTGCCAGCTCCCTCCTTCTTCATGTCCCTCCCTTCTCATATTGTATTTAACAGGCAACTTTGTGTGGATGGTGTTTTCCATTTCTTTATAGGCTTATGTTTCCTGGTTCCGTTCTAAGACTAAACTTATTTTTGTTGGACATTTTGCAGGTAAATTGTGCAAAATCTCTTTTCTTAGGCAGGCTATTAGTTATTGTTCTATAATATGAATCAATGAGAGTATTGCATCTTGGTCAATGGGAGTATAAATAAGACAGCTTTCACACTCAACTATGCTTTTTTCCCTTTAAAAAATAGAATAACTAGGGCCTCCCCGGTGGCGCAGCGGTTGAGCGCTGGGTTGCGAAGCTGCCGGCGACCTCTGCGGCGCAGCGGTTCGATCCCCAGCTGCTCCCCGGCCACCGGAGGAGGGTCCCACATGGCGCGCAGACCTCTCCTGCCGCCCGCTGCTCCCCTCAGCAGTGTCCTTCGGTCCTTCTGCCTGCTCTGCTCCCCGCTCTGGCTCTGGTGAATTCTCTCGCCCTCCCGCGCTTCTGACTGTACCCAGTGCATGTATAAACAAAACAAACAAACAAACAAACAAACAAATAAATAAAAACATGCCTCTATAAATAAAAAAAAAATGTGTTTAAAAAAATAAAAAAAAATAGAATAACTAGTGTAAAGAGCTAAATATAGAAATTATAACATTGCTACAAGCAATAGCTGTAAGTAGCACACCCTGTTTAAAACAAAATATACAGGAAAACACACTTTTGTAAAATTATGATTTGTATCCACTGATCCTTTAGCATTCTCCAGCATTGTTTAGTCTAGTGCAGGTTTTCATTTTGATTTCATTAATTATTAACTATGAATGTTTTCTTCATCCAAGACAAATGATTTATACTTCTTGGTGAAAGTTCTGCTTGGATATATAAACATGTTCCCCTTTACAGGAAAGATTTTTTTTTGAGTGTACAACAAAGGGTCACGAGACAAAACTGGTGTGAACTCATCTGGTTGATTCACCAGCTGATCTGAAGTCTGCTGGCTTAAACTCTCCTGGAATCTGCTAAGCAGAAGAGCTCTAATTGCACTTTTATAGCAATAGGAATCAGGAGCTTATTGTTCCCTGACTCCTGATTTTAGTCATTTTTCTCTTTAAAATTAACTTAAATTTTTACTACAGGTAAATTGACAAAATCATTTGATGATGCAAATATCCCAAAAGGATAAGAGCAGAGTAGTCCTACTGCCATCTCTAGGGAACCTCCATCCTAGTCGCTCTCATGATTTTGTTGTTGTATTAATCATTTGCCTCCATCTTTCTAGGGAACATGCTTGCCCTACAGTTTCTGGGTTTTTCAGTTTCAGGTCTTCTGATTCCATACCATGGAAGATGAGGACTTAGTGCGCCTTTGTCTCTTCCCTTGACCAGCCTGTAAGGGGGTGCTGTTCAACATGCTCCAGTCATTTCCAATTGTTGTTGAATCTTATGAGATTGCCATTGTTCTTGGTCAAATGTGTTTGAATCTTGGCTGTTTCATAGCTACAGTTGTAACTGAAAATAAAATTCAGTGTTTATGAGAATGGAGTCATGTTATGTATTACACATTCTCTCAATTGCAGAACTTTTAATTTCATTTGTTTGGTTGGTTTATAAAATACACTTTATTACTAAGTCTTCCCCAAGCTCCTTCCCAATTTCCTGAATTGCTTCTCAGTCAAAAAATCCGACATTCAATTTTCATCACCCAAGAGATGTCTCTGATGTAGCCTTTAGGTTTAATCCATTGGGGTAATTACATTACTCTAGAGCCGCCTCTGGGATAGTCCTAAACCATCATTCTAGGGACACCCTTGTCTCTGTTTCCTGTATCTATGACTTCTACATGTTTTTCTTCTTTCCTCTCCAAACCCCAATCACAGCACAGCCCTAACCCTAGGTCTAAGACATTCATATATTTTTTTTGTCTCCTTAGAATAGAGGTCATGCCTTTCTAGTTCTTTGAATAAAGGAGGTACCTAATTTTTTTTTTTGAGATATGACATATCATTATTGCCTGTTCACACTGTATTAGTACTTCATAGCCCAAGCTGGTGTGTTAGGGTTCTCTAGAGAAAGAGAACCAAGAGAATGTGCAGATGGGTAGGTAGGAAGGTGGACTGATAGAGAGCTGACTGGCTTTCTGGAAAGGAGAGAAATGAGGGGGGGTGGGAGGAAAGAGAGAAGGAGGTAGGGGATCGATCAATAGATGAGAGTTACATAGATTTATTATAGGAAACTGACTCACACAATTATGGAGGTTGGCAAGTCCAAAGATCTGCAGGCTGAGCTGGCAAGCTGGATGTGGGAGAGTTGATGGTTGAGTCCCACGACTTGGGAACTGGAAGATTCAATGGGTGGTTCCCCTCTGAAGGCCAACAGAACCAAGATCTGGGAAGACCCCATGCTTCAGTTAGTTTGAAGGCAGGAAAAAAGTCAACATCTCACTTTGAAGACAAGCAGGCAAGAAGAGTTCTTTTTTACCCATGGGAAGGTCAGCATTTTTGTTCTTGTTGCTAAGGCCTTCAATTGATTGGATGAGCTCTTTTTACATAAGGAAGAGCAAACTGCTTTGCTCATTCAACCCATTTAAATGTTAATCTTACCCCAAACACCCTCACAAAAATACCCACAATAATATTTGACAAAATATCTTGACATCCCATGACTTAGTCAAGTTGACACAAAATGAACCACCATAGAAGACACTTTGTGTAAATTAAAGGCATTTCTCTACTGTCTCCCAGCTTGCAAAATGTCTCTTGAGAAGTCTAAGGCCTAATTCATTTTTTGAATTGGTCTGAGAGAGATGGCTGGATGATTTGGCCCTGGTCGTCCTCACTGCCCAGTGCCACAGCTGGTCTTTTTACAGGGGAATCTCTGATACAAATATCTTTAGAAAATTTTCTTGGGCTGCTCAGAATTCCTGAAGAATAACCTTTCAGTGTCCCACCCTGGAGGGGTTCTAGAGATCTGAGTGCCTGGGAGGTAATGACAATTAAATACAAACTTTCATAGAATCTCCTTGTTTTCAGAGCTCTGGATATAAACTTTGTGTGGTAACCATGGGCTGTACTTCCTCTGTTTTACCTACCCTCAAAAGAACACCTGCATTGCTGCGTGAGGATGGTTTTGGGCTGGTGCTCATTTCCCTGGTGTCTTCTAGGTCATTCTTAGGCTTGCTTCCATTTCCTAGCTCCAAATTATCCATTTTTTCCTATTTCCCTCTGTGCTTGGTATTTTTATGTCTTACAATATTTTTTCCCTGTTGTTTTGTGAGGTTGTCAGATAACGTGATGCTCAAGGTGTGTGTCTAGTCTGTAATCTTCACTTGAAAGCCACATCTAACATCTTACTCTCTAGTCAAAGTGGGGGAAAGTAAGGAGGGATTTGGTGGTAGTGTGATATTGCTAAAATTCAGCCATTGTCTTTCTCCTACACAAAATGAATCACTTTTGCTTTTTTTTTTTTTTTTTAATAGAGGCATGTTTATTTATTTATTTGTTTGCTTGTTTGTTTGTGTTTATACAAGCACTGGGTACAGTCAGAAGCGCGGGAGGGTGAGAGAATTCACCAGAGCGGGGAGCAGAGCAGGCAGAAGGACCGAAGTACACTGCTGAGGGGAGCAGCGGGCGGCAGGAGAGGTCTGCGCACCATGTGGGACCCTCCTCCAGTGGCCGGGGAGCAGCCAGGGATCGAACCGGCGCCACAGAGGCTGCGTGCAGCTTTGCAACCCAGCGCTCAACCACTGCGCCACTGGGGAGGCCCTCATTTTTGCTTTTAATCACCTGTCTAAACTATACCACCCTTTTAGCTGGACATTCACTAAAAATAGCTCCAGGTTTACCTATTAAATTATGAACTCTACAATATAATGAGAGCTTTTATAAGTAATATCAAAATATTTCCTAAACATGCATCATATGCAAAGCCTTTGTGATGAGACTGGAATCTTAAGCATTTTATGATCTGGTGTGAAAAAATGATGCTGTAAAGTAAAACGAAGTGATGAATTATGATCATCACGTGATTTTATGAATTCCTACATTACTACATTGCTAATGCACAGATGCAAACAAATCATCACGCATGTGACTGGTTATGTGATTAAGTGCCCCCAATTCTTATTCACTGGAATCCATGCAGAAAGTGCACCTGCTGATTAAGTGCTTTACTTAGCAGGTGTTTGTGATCTCTCTCTCTTTGGAGGTTTTTAAATGAAAGCTGTGTCATCTCTCTGAAGTAAGGTAAGCGTGGGCAATCTGGAAGTAATGAGGTTTTCGGTGACTGTTTTTACTGTGACTCGGTTCATCTACATATGGCAGGTGACCTCACACTTCCTAAACACAGTGATTCTACAAAGACTGGGCAGACATTTGTGTTTGGATAAGCAAATGGTCATGTCCAGGGCTCACATATAGTTACCTGGCATCAAAACTCAGTCTTGCCACGTCATGATCCTGGGAGGCCAACTTATTCCCAAGGTGGTAGCACCATTTCCTCACCCCAATCAACAGGAAGCAAAGACCATCCTTTGCAATAGCTGTCTCTTCACTTTTGGAACACTACCAGGAAGTCACATATACCCCATGGGTCAAACTTGTTCCCGTGGTCATGGTTAGCTGCAGGGAGCGGTGCAAAATGATCTATCCAGGAAGTCTTGTATCTATAACATCAGTGCTTCTGTTTCTAGGGAAGAAAGAGAAAAAGTAGTGGGAGGTTGAAGAGAGAAAGAACACTCTCTTCGACATGGACATTCACTTGTACCCTACTGGGGGTCTACACTTCTTGTAATCTGGGGAACACTGGGATGACAGAGGGTGACAGGTACCCAGGTGATGGCATTGTGCCAACAGCAGGACCAACAATAAGATATTACTGGCTTTATGGTTTTTGTTCTTTGCTGGGATCCAGCCTGGAAGTGAATACTTGTAGAAATTATAGTAGTTCCTCCTTATTCTTGGGGGATCTGTTCCAAGATCCCCAGGGAATGCCTGAAACCACAGATACTCATGCGCTGTAGTATGCTATGTCATCCCCTAAACATCGATAGATCAAATTTAATTTGTAAATTAGGTACAGTAAGAAATCACAACAGCAACGAGTCATAAGCTAGAACAGGTATATCAAAATTCTATAATAAATGTCATGCAAATGTGGTCTCTCTTTGTCTTTCAAAGTAATTTTTTTGTACCTAGTGTTTTCAGACAGGTGGGTGACTGAAATGGTGGAAGGAGAAACCAGGGCTAAGTAGGGCCCACTCTGCATTTCAATTATAAAATCTCCCAAGTATGCAGAGAAATCTGACATCCATTACCCACGCTTCTATTTGCACAGACTTGTCACATTTCCTTCAGATATTGCTAATCCTTATGGGAAACAGAAAAGTCCCTACTTTTTCTCCCCCATCCTTTCACTCCAAGTGCAGGCTCTGTCCTGGTGACATGGCCTACGTCGCTGGAATAGAGCTTATTTCTTATTTCACTTGTGGCTTTTATGTAGGTGTCCCACGGCGACTAGTATTTAATAGCCAGTATTTTCTCAGGTGTGATACTGATCTTAACAAGACACAATTCAGTTAATGATGCTCGTTACTATTAAAAATATCTTTTTTGGTAAAAAAAATATTATACTGTGTGCACGCATATTTGAAGGATCTAGTGTATGATATAATTTAAACAAATGAGCATCTAAAATAAATTATAAATAATGGGATTTTTTGGACTATTTTTTAGTGACTATGCCTGAGTATGGGGAGAGAGAGATTTATTAAGGACTCCACTTGGCTACATCTTTTACTGTTATAAATCACTGCATAATGTAGTTAATGATTTTTCTAATTAAGAACAGTCTTGCAATGATGGATTTCACACTTCTGATACCACTGTGCCCCCTGTCCAAGTAGGATTCTCCAGAGAGAGGCTGAGATTCCCTGGTTTGCAGGTGATGGGGGCAGTGAGGCCGCGGGAGGAAGGACTGAGTAGGAGGAATCCAAGTGATACGCGGTTGCAACAGGCAGACCTCATCCCACCGGGCCTTTGGTTGGGGCTGACACTTTGGAGCCCTGGGGCTGACACTGTCCCTCGCCAGGGGGTGACTGGACCTGAGCGTGTGTTCCCTGCCAGCAGGTACCGCCTCAGGCGGCAGGACTTCCTCTGAGGAAGGGCCATCAGGGAGGCCCGCTGCCCCCAGTTCTTGTCACTCAACTGTTCAGGAGCCTCTTATGTTCCACTGCATTGAAGCAGGGAGTTTCCAAGCCTGCTGCTTGGGGGAGTCTGCGGCTTTGATGCTGCAGCTTGCAGCATCCCCCAGGCTCGGGATGCTGTGGTCCAGGCAGCGTCTGTGTGGGCAACCCCTGGGCCTGACTCTGAGCTTCTGTGACCCCCACGGCCTCTCTGTGCTTCCATTTTCTTAACAAAACACAGCTCTTTTCCAAGCTTCACCTGCACCGACGGGGGGGGGTGTGCAGTCTGGGCGCATGGGGGTTCTGAACCCGTGTCCTGGCTGCCGGTCCATAGAATGACCTCTCCAGGAGGTCCTTCCATTGGTGGTGGTCGGAGGTGACTTCACCGCTGGGCTTCTTAGCACCAAGCCCGGTTCGGGAAGGGCTTCCCTCTGGGGTGCAGGGAGGGGCGCCCGCAGGTGCCCCCAACCAGGGGTGCAGACAGGCCCCTGCGGCGCTGGCCCAGCTCGCTCCCAGCCTGGCCACATCCAAGGAGGACCCTCCCTCCAGCTCCACCAACGCGGGGACACGGGAGACTCCTCTGGACGGAGGCCACCCCGGGGAAGGTGCTGGAGGCTGTTCAGCTCCTGAGCAGGGCCATGACTCATCCCCAGGCTGGGAGCCGCTCCTGGGCGACCCGGGGTCCCCTCACATGCGCTCCTTTGCGCCTTTCCATTTCCAATGGAGAGGAGATGCTTTATTTGAAGTGAGAAGCCTCCTGTGTCCTCGCATGTCCTCCACTCCCACAAATGACCGCAGAGGGAATAATAACTCAAATGGTGCAGACAGGGAGCGGGGCAGTGACCTCATAAAGGGATCCTCCGGGCAGGCCGGGGCGGGGGTGAGCAGGACCAGGGGGTCTGCTCCGAGCTTTCCTCTCAGGATGCAGCTGCGCAGCGGCCTGCAGGGCCTCCGTGGCGCCAACGCCCCTAACCTGATAGGTGTGAGGGGAGCTCAGCCCCCCGCGATCCCGGATCCATCAACCTGTCAACAAAATTGAGGCGGTATTTATGGAACATCTGATCCTCGAGGAGAAAAACCCAAAGTACCTCATGATTCATTGTGTTAAAATAGTCCTTAGAATGTTAAGGGGGAGAGAGAAAAAGAATTTGATCCCTTTAGAAACAGAGTCGATTTCTGGCATTGCTGAGACTGGGGACTGGCCTGAAACTGTTGGTGGAACCTGCTCACACATACTAGCTCGTCAGGAGACAAGGCGAGAGTTGTGGTTTTCCCCCAAACTAGCATTTTGTTTATTTTCTATATGGGCGACACCTGCATCAGGTGTAGCAGCTTCCTCTGCATAGCTGGGGTGGTTTCTCTCCTCTCACCCCAAGACCCAGCCACTGGGGGGCTCTGCTTCCACTCAAGTTCCCTCCCCATCTAACTTTTGTTCTGCTTCTTACCCCCAGACAAGACATGCTGGCTGGTGACATTTCCCATCTTGCAAACACAGCTACCCGTCTTTGTCCTTCCCATCCTGGAATAAAGATTCCCCCGGGCTAAGGCGAATTCCGTCACTCGGGCTTGATAACATATTTGGCAGGGCCGAGGGTGAAACAAAAACCCCAGCATGAATCAGTCTCCCCGCCTCTGACCCACTTCTTCAATCCTCCATGGGCAGGTGAACCCAAGTGTGGGTCACCTCCACGGTAGGCTGTGCCCAGTACTGGGATGGGAGACCGGCTTGCACTGTGGTGTCCAGTACACAAACCTGGGCCTGCCAGCTGGGTGTGTGCTGGTCATGGCCCTGTCCAGACCAAAAGGGCAGAGGAAGGCAGGGTGGTTGGGCAAGGTTGACCCCAGCAGGCACCTTGGAACCCCGGGGAGATGCGACTGCTGGTTTCCCCAGGATCTGTGCCTCCATCATACTCCTCACTCGACAACAGAACATCAAAGACAATTATTAAGAATGCAAAGACGGCTGGAAAGCCTTCAACAAATGCAGGGTCCTTCTGTGAGGGCACAGGTCCTGACCGACCCTCTCCTCGGCAGCCAGCTTCCACACCCTCCCTGGAGCTTCCTCCCAGAACCAGGCCACCCTCTCCCCCTGCATCTCACTCATCTCTTTCTGTGGACCTTTCCCCGGAGAACAGTCAGTCCCACCTAGTCTTCAGATCCCTCCCACCCTTCTCGACATTGTCCTTTGATTGCCCTGATGCTCTCTCCTGAGAAAGGCTTCTGGGAAGAGGCGTCAGCATTTATTGTCTTCACGGCCTTGCATCTACTCTTCCGGGGAGGAAAATTCTTTTCTCCACTTGCAAAGATCACGGTCCAACTCCTAATCAGCCTTGAGGCCCTGGCAGTTCTTCATCTTTGACTAAAAATGTGACATTGGACACTGGTGACACAGCCGCCCATGTGTCCTGGGCTCTCCTCAGTTTATGCTCTTGCAGTTCTGCAGGCCAGAATCTGAAGTTAGGTGTTGGTAGACCCCTGTGCCCCTGAGGCCTCTGATAGGAGCCTTCCTGCCTCCTCCAGCCTCCAACTGGCCTGGTGTACTTGGCCTGCAGCAGCATTTCCCCACCCAGCCTCTGCCACTGTCTTCTCCCCAAGAGTCCCTGTTTATAAGGACACCAGGCGAACGGGGTTAGGCGCCCTCCCTGAGGGATGAACATGGCTGAGAACCTAGAAGGAAAAGGACAGGAATTTGGTGAACTTCTAGCAGTCCTTCTACAAACTCAAATACTTCCCTGGCTACCTTTTCGTGGATTTTGTGCTTACTGAACATGATCATAGGTTTTCCCCCATGATATTACAGGGTGCTTCTCACCAGTGCATAAATGTTGGACTCCTATTGCTACAGGTGAGGAGCATGACAGGTAAAGAGCCCTCAGCCAATGCCTGGCCGAGCTGGTCCTTATCAACTCATTTTCAGACTTCCTTTACACAGTGCTTTGTGACAACATGCCTTCCAACTGCAAAGAGAAGAAGGAGGATTAGAGAGGAAGATAATCTAGAGTGTCGCTAGAAGCTTGAGCAAGAGAGAACACCGTTACAAAGACATTTATAGATACATCAGGAAAAAATACATTAAAAACGCTCAACAAAATGTAGACTGGATGAGGAGAGGTGGGTTGCAAGTGTTAGAGAGGCCATCGCTTCACGTAAGTGATCGGTTTGACCCCTGACCACCATTCTTTGACCCTTGACAACTTGGTTGACTGGTTGGCTGGTCAACCAGTGCAAGACTGTTACATGCTTGAGCCTTCCAAGAGAGGACTAGCCGCTTCGTTTGTGGGTAACGACACTCACTCTTGGTCCCAAGAAAATGTTTTGTTAGACCGTTTCCTTTCTCACAATATTCCATTGAAGGTCTTTGGTTCTTGAAGTGTGAAAGTTCAGAATTCAGCTAGTACCTCACCGCTCCATTCTCAGCATGCAGAAGTTCTGTGGAGGCCAGGAACGTGTTTATCAGCACACACAGCAAAGTTTCATTCCTCGTGTAAAACGACCTCTCGGTGTGATATATGTATATTGAGTGCCCTGCTGTGACTAAGAGCTATCTAAAAAAGAAAAAATATAGCCACCTCCTGAAGCATGTATAAATTGCTTTTTTAGACCCTATAAAATTTTAGCTAGCACCAAACATAGAACTTCATTCATCATCCTGCAAGTGAGGACTGCCAAGGGAAGCTGGCTCTTCCTGAGCCCAAAGTGGCAACACTCCCGGACTGGCAGAAATCAAATGAATCATTTCCTGCTTTTAGTTTTAGATAAATAATCAGAAAAGATTGTCTAGATTACGATCCAAAAGTCATTTTTCATAGCTTTACGGATTCAGAGTTCTTCAACGTGGTGGGGAAACCCACCTTTTGTAATTACTGCTCGTTAGTCAAGAAATGGTCGATACATCTGCAAAGTCCAAGCTAAACCTTGACGCAGTGAAGACCTGTGACGGCAGTGTTAGTGATCTCATTATTTCTCGATTTTGATGCTTTGACATCTGTGGACTTGCTGACCATGGAGGGCCTGACCTTTCCAGGGTTAACTGATTTCTAGAGGGAGCAAGCCAGCCTCCTGGGGGTGCACCTTTCATATGCAAACTGGCCAACCCAGAGCCACGTCCCCAGTCCCCTCCTCTGTCTGCTCCTCACATCTGGGTCACTACCCCCAGTCCTAACCCTGGACCCAGCTCCCATCCCCAGAGCTGAAATCATGCAAAATTAGTGCCTCTTAAACCTGCTTACTCTGCCTCATGGTTCCTTCCTGACCAGCCCTCATACTCCCCTGGGGGTGGGGGTGGGGTTCTTCCAAACCGTGGAATGCCCCCTCTTATTTACACCTGTGATTATAACAAACTGTCTTTTCAGGGGCTGTTGTTTCCATTTCTCTTGGCCTTGTCCTGCTTTGACAATAAGGTGAAAGCACAAGAAAATAAGAATCACGGACTTGGGTTCCAGCCTTTGTTTTGTCATTATTTTCCCAGCTGACCTTAAAAGCAAGTCTCCTAATTACTCTGAGCCTCAGTTTCTGTGCCTCTCAAGTGAGTAGCTGGATCGCTGTAGATGAATCCTAGCATTTCTTCAGATGCTCAAATTTTATGAGTTAATTCTTTCAGCATGTGGTAAGTTACTATGTAGATTTCCAAAAGCTTTGATTACTTCATTCAGCATTTACTGAATATTGTTTATTTGATAAGCACTAGGGATACAAAAATGGATAAGAAAAATTTGTTACAGGGAGACTCACCTTCCATCAGGAAATCAAAAAGCCAGGTGGAACTGAGGGATGACCAGGGATCCCAAATGTTAAGGGAAACATTTGCCCATTATAAAGGCCTGTTTCACCCACGCACATCAAAGCAGGGAAATTGAACTCTAGTGTACTCAAAGGATTTTAATTGGTGAGAAATACAAAGGGCATAGACAGAGAAGAGGACAGATTTCAAATAAGCAGCCCCCCATCTAACTCCAAAAGCATCCATCCTCTCACAGCCAAGTGCCCAGCAGATCAGGCCGGGACCCGGGCTGAGCAGGCAGGGCCAGCAGCAAAGATGCCTCGGGAAGCCAGTGCCAGGCACATACCAGCAGAAAGGCCAGTCAGGGCCCAGAAAGCTGGGGGGAACAGAAAGACCTGAAGTTCAAAATCTATCAGTCAAACTGGGTAACCCACTGTGAGGTCAAAGTGATGGCTGCCATTATCTCCAAAAAGCCAGCCTGCCAAAGCTCTAAAGCCATTGAGACCAAGGGGCTGAGCAGCCTCACCATGTCTTCAATTCCTCCCCCAATGGCCGCCTGGCTCCTTCCTCCTTCCCAACAGCCCCTATACAGGTAGTCTGGAGCATGGTGTCCGGGGAGATGTCAGAGGCGTGGAGAATGTCAGAGGCGTGGACTGGGGACTCTTGTCATTCTTGGCTGAGATTGCCAGTGCCACCTCCTTTAACAAATTCAAGTGCACAA